CAACAACAACATACCACCTGATCAATGAGAGACAGCAGCCAACACCAGCCAAACCCACAGGAATGGTGACCCTTAATAGTGTACACACTTCCGTTCTCTAACTACACTCAGGAAATGGTGAGAACTAAGAACAAATCAACATACATCATCAATTACATACAAATACAACTCCTCAATGCCCTGGTGAAAAATAGACAATTTTAGCTTAAATGAAGAAACAAGAGAGACCGATTCAACTGACCTAACCCCTGGGGACTAGGGTTGAGAGTGAAGTGGACAACGGGTCTGAAGTTCAGGGAGGCGTGCGTGAACTCCCAAACTTGCAGCTAGAACCCATTTGACCTAGCTTGGATGGCTAGTTAACCAGAACTCAAACCAAGGAAGATAGAGATGTTTGATACTGAGAACAACTGCAAATTGCTACAACTTGATGAACTAGACTTTTGCCTATGAATGCAGTGATTCAAAACTCCAACCAGAATGGAAGGATTCTTCATACCAAGGAACAACCTTGTTTTCTCAGTGTTACTGAATTGATACGGATGAGAAATTTAGACATTGGCTATCAAAAATGGAGGGTGGGGAGGCGTGGAGGCTACAAAGGCATGAAGTGACTGGCTCACAAGCTTTCATGAGTGTACACCGTGTGCTTAGTTTCAGAATGAGGGAGAGATAAGGTAGAATCATCATTGAATAGTCTCCCTTTCCCAGATGGATCCAGTAAAAGGGAATGGGAGATGACAGTGATAGGATTTTATGACTGAATTGTAAATAATCGATAGCAGGATTAATTGTGATGATCACAACTGTATTTGTAGATGTGTAAGTAAAAGGAGGGAGTTGTTGTTCTGACTCATAGCAACTCTTTATAGGGTTTCCATGGAGCGGCTGGTGAGCTTGAAAGGAAGGAGTAGCTATCTTTTATTTCAGGAACAGATGATCCCAAGACCTTCAAGAAAGAAGAACATGAATGGAACATGAAATCCCTAACTAGAAAAGCAGCGATAGCAGAGATGGTGGTCGTGTGCCTGTGGGCAGGAGACTGACTGGCAGAATGTGCCCATTTGGACATTTAAATGAATATATATTTTTTTGTTTTGTAAGTGCACATCAAATATTTTTGCCTTGTTCATTTGTGAAATACAAGATGTAAATGGGGAGCCACAGGGAGGGAAGAACTAGGATAAATGTTGCTGCAGGAAGGGATTGCAATCATTAAGATGAAACAAGGTATACAGTTTTCTGAATGTAGAGCTGATGATCTTGTCTGCAAATTTTCACCCAATTCACAATAAAAAGTTAAAAAGAAGAAGAATAGAACAGAAAGCCCAGAAACAGATTGAAATATTTTGAGAACTGAATAAGATAAATGTGACATTTGATGGGTAAAGGGCAGTTTTAAGTAATTGGTACTCTCTGAATTATCCAAGTATTGTTGTTGTTGAGTGCCATCGATAAAACCCCACTGTTTCATAGATACCTATAAATATATTTCAGATGCACTAAAAACCTTAAATATGATAAAATAATTGAACACATTAGGTAAAAATTTTAAATGATATTTTTATTATGTGATACTAATAAGAAATTTCTTTATGAAGACTAGAAACAGAAAAAAGCAAAACCCATAAGAAACAGGTGAATACACAATTTGACTACATCAAAATGGAAAATAAATGGATACAAAATATCACAAAAATAAACAAAAATAAACATGATAGACTGGAAAAATTACTTTGCAAGATATGTAATAAACAGAGTGTTCCTTTGTCCCTAATGTACAATTGATAAAAAGATAAAAAAATCCTATAGAACTATGTGCAAAAAACATGAACAGGTATTTCATAGGAAAGGTAATTTAAATTGTCAATAAACTTATAAAGGAATGATCAATATTTGGAAATTTAAAATAAAATAAGAACAATCCTGTTGTCCACCTCCAACACCCCCCCACCACACCCCCCCACAAAAAGGAGAGAGAATGCCTCAAACAATGATCAAGATGCAGGACCAGATCATGTTTCTAAGGAATAAAAGGTAATGAAACTAACAGAAAAAGAATTCAAAAGAATGATATTTAGGGACCTTATAAAGACTGATGGAAAGGTCGAGGAAAGCAGGGAGAACACAGGGGGGTGAAATTAAGACAAATTCAGGAAAACAAAATAATTAAAATAAAAAAAAAGAAGAAGAAGAGCAGACATAATAAATGCAAAATTTGAAATGATAAAAAACCTGCAAATAGATATTTAAAGATTAATTCTAAGATTTCAGAAATGAAGTAGATTCATTATGAATGAAATCTATTCATAATGTTTTCATTTTCTGGTATGCTATCTGACATATTTACTATTCATAATGTTTTCAGTGACCAACTTTGCAGTAGTCTGCCTCTCCTTCCTAGTATGTCTTAGTTTAGTCTGGAAGCCCAGCTGCAACCTATCTACCATAGGCAATCCTGCTGGTATTTAAAATTCTGGTGGCATAGCTATTAAAAACTATGGAAGAAAAACAAACAAATCTGTGTTAGAAGTACAGACAGAATGCTCTTTAGGAGCCAGGATGGCAGGACTTAATTTCTCATATTTTGGATCTATTATCAGAAGGGACCAATTCCTGGAGAAGAACATCATGCTTGGTAAAGTGGAGGGTGAGCAAAAAAGACTAGACTCCCAATGAGATGAAACGACACAGTGTCAGCAACAGTGGGCTCAAATGTCACAGCAATTGTGATTATGGTAGAGGACTGGGCGGTATTACCTTATGTATGAGTTGATAGTGACCTGATGGCACCTAACAACAACAACATAGCTCCCAGCCATCACAGTATGACAAATTGACAGACAAGTGGTGGTGTATATGCAGTTGTTGTTATGTGTCATTGAGCCAGTTCTGTCTCATAGAGACCCTGTATAGTGTTTCCGAGGAGCATCTGGTGGATTTGAACTGCCGACCTTGTGGTTTGAAGTCCAGTGCTAATCCTACAGTGCCACACCAGAAGTCCATATATATAGTAGTGGTTATGAATCGGGTTGCGAACCTTAAGGTCAGCGGTTCGAAACTACCAGCTGCTCCGCGGGAAAAAGATGAGGCTTTCTACTCCCGTAAAGAGTTACACCCTCGGAAACCCTGTACAGGGTCGCTATGGGTCAGAACTGACTCGACGGCACTTAACAACAAGAAACCCTGTATAGGTTTTCCAAGGAGTGCCTGATGAGTTGGAGCCGCTAACCTTGCAGTTCAAACAGACCTTGTGGTCAAGTGTTTATCCTACAGTGCCACACCAGGACTCCTATGTATGTAGTGTAGATATTAAAATACACATGCACAAAGAAGGACTCTTTAACATTGGTATGGTATCTTTCTTATCTAAGATGAGTTCCAGGCAGTAAGAAAACTGGTAGCTTTGGAGAACATAATTTTTGGGTTCATCAACTGTTCATACTCCAGTACTTCTAATAAATCTCTTAAGGTTTCTGTTTCCTCATCCATAAAATGTGTGCATCATAGCAAATTATGGACAGTGTTGCAAAGAATGAAAAATGAGCATTCTAGAAGAGTTCATTGTGCTCTTGTGAAACATCTCCATATACCAAGAGGCAGTCATCCAAATTGAACAAGAAGTTACTTTCTGGTGTACATCAGTGTTGTATTCTTTCACCATACTTGTTCCATCTGTATTCTGAGCACATAATCTGAGAAACTGACTATATGATAAGATTGTGGCATCAGCACTGGAGGAAGGCTCATTAACAACTTGCAACATGCAGATGATAGAACCTTGTTGGCTGGCAAGTGAAGAGGACTTGAAATACTTACTGATGCAGATCAAAGACTATAGTCTTCAGCTTGAATTGCACCTCAACATAAAGAAAACAAAAATCCTCACGACTGGACAAATAACCTCATGACAAACTGAGAAAAATTTGAAGTTTTTTTGGAGCTTTTGCTTGGAGCTACAGAAGCAGCAGCCAAGAGATCAAACAAGGTATTGTATTGATTAAATCTGCTTCAAAAGACCTCTTTAAAGTGTTTAAAAAACAAAGATGTCACCTTAAGAACTAAGGTGTTCTTGACCCAAGCCATGATACTTTCAATTGCCTCATGTGAATGCGAAAGTTGGACAATGAATAAGGAACTCCAAAGAAGAATTGATGACTTTGAAATAAGAATATTAACTGTATCATAGACTTCCAGAAGAATGGACAAATCTTTCTTGGAAGAAGTAAAGCTAGAATGTTGTTTAGTAAGTCGGGATGGAGAGACTTGTCTCTGGTACTTCAGACATATTATCAGGAGGTACCAATCCCTGGTAATATGTCTGAAGTACCAGAGACAACCCTGGAAGGAGCTCTGGTAGCGTAGTGGTTACAAATCGGGCTGCTAATCTTACGGTCAGCAGTTCAAAACTACCAGCGGTTCTGCGGGAGAAAGATGAGGCTTTCTGCTCCTGTAAAGATTTACAGCCTCGGAAACCCTGCACAGGGTCACTGTGAGTCGGAACCGACTCCACGGTACTTAACAACAACAACCAATCCCTGGGGAAGGACATCATGCTTGGTAAAGTAGAAAGCAGCTCAGTGTAATAGCTCTGTTTAACAACATTTGGTTACAGTTTGAATTAAATGAAGAACAGCAAGTTATTATACATAATACGTGAAAGCGGTCTTCAAATATTTGCTGAATGAATGCACTCTGCTAAAGCGTTTCACTTGCGTCGACTTTCACTAATTAATGATTCCGTTTAAAAGGAGGACGTATTGGACATGCTCTATAAGTCAACTGCTGTTTATCCCATGTGGGCGGGGCGGAGGGGCGGAGCCTCAAGGATTCCTCTCTCACGACTGCGAGGTCCAATTGGATTCGTGGAGGGGCGCGGTCCCGCCCACTTACTTGGCAGCCCGGAAGCGAGGTGGGGAGGCGATGAATGTATTTCCGGTGGCTGCGAGTGGCGGCTTTTTCTACGCGGATAGACGCAACTGTGTAGCAGCCTGGGCAAGATGTTCTACCACGTGAGCACGGCGCAGGGCTGGGGTCCCCTTCTAGCCTATATCCCCGCTGCGCCTCCTCGGCTCACCATCCCATCTTCCCTGCAGATCTCCCTGGAGCACGAGATCTTGCTGCACCCGCGCTACTTCGGCCCCAACCTGCTCAACACGGTGAAGCAGAAACTCTTCACCGAGGTGGAGGGGACCTGCACGGGGAAGTGAGTGTCGCGCCCTCCACGCCGCCTGGCTGTTGCCCACACCGCGTCCTGTGTCGCCAACGACGGTCTACCACCCACTCCTCTCATCGGGCGCCCCAGACAGTCCGCTGCCTCTTGGTTTGGGTTCCTCCTGCGTTCCGCTGAGATGGGCCTTTCATTGACCGCTTCCTTCAACTCTGGTGCCAACCCTAGTGGCATGCAGTGAATGAGACAGAATGAGACAGGCTGTCAGGGAGTTCACAGCCGATGCATTGTCCCTGCCTTTGTTACCCCAATGTGATCCCCTCTCCTCTTTGCTAGGCACCTGGCATGGCACATTTTGGGCCTTAGTAGATGTTCGTTGAAAGAATAAGTTACCAGGAGAAAGCAGACTGAGAGTCTGGGGGAAAGAAAAGGGATGGAACTTGTCCATCTCTGGGTTCTGCACAGACAGAGGGACCTCTTAGTAGAAGATGATGGGGATGAGCTGGGATTGAACCCAGAGCTGTGGAGTTCTTGGGCCTCTAGGAGAATAATCTTGAACATGCAGGTTTCTGAGCCTCATCTTGGCCCTGCAGAATCAAGACTCTGGGGGCACACTTGGGAATTCAACAAATGTGTCTTTGGTGATTCTGAGGCTTCCCAAAGCTTGAGGTCTGTTGGCTCAAAGACTGCAGTCTTCTTGGGTGTTTAATAGATGGTGTCCTCTGGTCTCCCCATGCCATTCATCTTTCTGGGGATGCTGTCCACTTCCCCTTCCCCGGGCTCAGTGACTTGTTTGCGGATGACTTTAGAGGTTCTTTCTCACACTCTTCACAGGTACGGCTTTGTCATTGCTGTCACCACCATTGACAATATTGGTGCTGGTGTGATCCAGCCAGGCCGAGGTTTTGTTCTTTACCCAGTTAAGTACAAGGCCATTGTGTTCCGGCCCTTTAAAGGGGAGGTGGTGGACGCTGTCGTCACTCAGGTCAACAAGGTAAGATGATCCCCAGCAGTGGGTAGTCCTGGCTCCACTTACTGACTCTGTGTCCACCGCTAAGTCATTTTACTTCTTTGCGCTTCGGTTTTCTCACCTGTCAAATGGTGACCCTGCCTCACTTGGGGGTTTGTTGTTGTTAATTGCTATCAAGTCGGTACCAACTCATAGCGAGCCTATGCATAACAGAAAGAAACACTGCCCAATTCTGGGTAAACCTCATAATTGTTGCCATGTTTGAGCCCATTGATGCTACCACTTTGCCAATCCATCTCGCTGGGGGTCTTCCTCTTTTTCTCTGACCCTCCACCTTACCAAACATGATAGCTTTCTCCAGTGACTGGTCACTTTGGGATTGTTGTTGTTATGTGCTGTGGAGTCGGTTCCGACTCATAGCAATGACCCTGTACATTGTTTCCGAGGCTTTAAATCTTCACGGGAGCAGAAAGCGTTCTCCCATGGAACAGCTGGTAGTTTCGAACTGCTGACCCTGAGGTTCACAGTCCGATTCGTAACCACTACGCTACCAGAGCGCCTTGGTCCCTTCGGGGTAGGTGAGGTAATAGTCACACTTCTTAGCCGACTAGCTTACGATGATAGAGTTGTTACTGTGGCCAGGTGAAAAGAATTGAAAACAGATGCGACGAGTTATAATGGTTTCAAAACGTGAAGGAACTTCTAGGGAACAGATAAAGATAGGAAGCCTAAGAGACTTTGAGGGACAAAGTAAGCCAGACCACTCATTCCACCTTCTAGGTTGGACTCTTCACAGAGATTGGACCCATGTCCTGCTTCATCTCTCGACATGTAAGTCTGAGTGCTTGGTGGGGGAGGGAGGGTGGGATGAACTGCTGGAGGGTGTGAAGGAGGAGAAACATCCATTCAAGACCATCTGTTGGAGCTTTTCTTTAAACTGCTGACCCTGCATCACTCTCTTTTCAGTCCATCCCTTCGGAGATGGAGTTTGATCCTAACTCAAACCCACCGTGTTATAAGACGATGGAAGAGGTGAGTGGGTAGGAAGAGGTCACTGAAAGAAGAAGGGAGGAGAGAAGCAAACTCTTTGAGAAAGCATTGTCTTGGTGAGGAAGGGACAAGGGGGGGCAGAAGGGGAGGTCTCACTACCCTGTTTCCCACCTCTCTCCAGGACATTGTGATTCAGCAGGATGATGAGATCCGTTTGAAGATTGTGGGAACCCGCGTGGATAAGAACGACATTGTGAGTCTCTTGCCTGCTGCCACAGAGCTGTCCTGGACAGAGCTGGGTGCTATAGATTTCTGACCATCCAGACTTCCTGGGGCTTCTGTGCTCTTCTGCCACAAAGAGTTCCAGATGGCTGGTACTGGGTGCTGAGGGATGGTTCTGTGACCTTGGCTTCATTTCCTTTTTCTCTTACTTCTTACAGTTTGCTATTGGCTCCCTGATGGACGATTACCTGGGTGAGTGCCTGATTTTAAATGCTGGGACTGAGGCCTGAGAAAGGGCTGTGGAGTAGATGCTCGAGTCACACATGTGCTAGCAGCCTGCATGCTGTCTGCTCCGAAGATCCCAGGGCTTGTGCCCCACACAGTGGAAAGTACACAGATGGGGTCCAAGTTCAGAGTCCAATAATGTGTCTTTCCTGTTCTCACAGGCCTTGTGAGCTGAGTGCGGGGACCTCCTACCTTGTTTGGTCCTGGTTTAGGAAGCATGACCTTCACACCTCCCTCATCCAGAGGCCCAGTTTGGCTGCTGTGGGGGCAAAGCCAGCAAAGTTCCTTATCCCCAGAAGACACCTGGTTCTACTTCTGTCTTAGTGGCCATTCCCAGAGTTTTAACTTGGTGTTCTAACCATAAAAGATCCTCGATTCTCGAGAAGTGTTATCTCCTTCATTGTTAGGAGCAACAGTTCTTTTTGTAGTTCCTCATCCTCGCCGTGCTGCCTCAGCCACGCAAACCACTTGGCAACTAAACCACTTGGCAAGGTCAGAGGTTGACCTCAATGAAGGCAAGCCCACTGGTAGTAAATCTCTGGCTTTCAGTCAATCATACCAACATGCAAGTCATTCTGAGTCCTAATCTAGTCCTACTGTGTTCCCCTCCTGCCCCCAAGAGTATAACTGGGAAGGAGAGAAGAGGGGATGGCAGGGAGAGGTGACAAGAGATAGTGACACAGATTGTAAAGTCCCAACACAGCCCGTCCTAGGGAGGATACATAAACCACAGAATCCTGAATTTGTTAATCAATTCATCGTTGACTCATCGGGTTGCTCAACTCCCTTGAGTTAGGAGTAGTGCAACAAAAAACCCACGAGCTGACGATATGGTTGAACAAACACGCCCTCCTCTCTCACACTCTGCTTTTGCGGTTTGTCCACTATGGAGTGTCCTTTCTCAGTCTGTCTGCTCGCTGCTAACCTAGCCAATCTCAATGCAATCATTCTTGTTGTGCAGCTTCCCCTGACTTCCTTGGGAAGCAAAGCTAGGTGGTAGGAAGCCTGGGATTTGAGTTGAAACAGACCTGGCTCTCAGTCCTAACTGGGCTACCGTGTAAAATGAGCATAAAACCTTTCTTTAGATAGTTACTGGGAGGATCAGCTAGCATATAGCCACACAATTATTCTTTTTTTTTAAAATAAAGTTCATAAGGCAGTGATTTCCCACTTTCCCACCCCCAACCCCCCCCCCCATGAGATACTTGGCAATGTCTAGAAACTTTTGGATGTCACAATTTAGAGGGGGGATGCAACTGGCTTGTGGGTAGAGGTCAGGGATGTTATCAACTGTCCTACAATACACTGGGCAGCCCCCCCACAACGAAGATTATCTGGTCCTTAATGGCAAACACAGAATCCTGGGATGACACTGTAGAGTAAGCGCTGGACTGCTTAACTGTAAGGTCAACAATTCAAACCCACCCGCTGCTCCTCAGAAATACTACACAGCGTCGCTTGTTAGTCAGAATTGACTCAATGGTACTTAACAACAACAATGTAGGAAAAGCACTGGACTGTAAGCCTTAAGGTCGGCAGTTCAAACCCACCAGTCACTCCTCAAAAACCCCATACAGGGTCACTATGAGTTGGAAACAACTAAACAACACTTCGCAGCAATACCAGTGTTGGGCACGCTGAGGTTAGGAACCCTAATGGGAAGCATCCAGAACTGTTCCTGGGACTGGAGTTCCTGCTGCCTCCCCTTTAACCACCTCTGAGCAGACCCAGGCTCTTCCCTCAACTTCCCATACATAACTTTGTTGTTAAGTGCTGTGGAGTCAGTTCCAACTAGCAACCCTGTATAGGGTTTCTGAGGAGTGGCTGGTGGATTTGAACCACTGATCTTGTGGTTAGCAGTTCAGGGCTTAATCTTGAAGCGCCTCTTCAGTGTGTCACAAAAAACGTTCTGTTGTCATGATTCTCCTTTCATTTTTTGTTATGTAAGAGTTTGGAATTGAATTTATACTGAGATCATCATGGATTCACATATACCCCTTTCATGTTGAATCCCCAGCTCCCAGTTTGTCTAATACAAGAACATTTCTGTGCAATCTGCTTTTCAGTGGAAATGTTCTGGTTGTGGCTGGCATCACAAAGGCACTGTGTATGTTTTTAGTTGGTTTGTAGCTCTATCAAGTTGGTTCTGACTCAGAAACCTGTAGAGGGTTTCCGAGAAGGGGTTGGTGGACTTGTGGTTAGCAGCCCAGTACTTAACTCTACAGCATTACACTGGCACTCCATGATGCCACTATGTTGTTAAGTGCCATCAAGTCGGTTCCGACTCATAGTGACCCTGTGTAGGGTTTCCAAGGCTGTAAATCTCTATGGGAGCAGGAAGCCTCATCTTTCTTCCACGGAACAGCTGGTAGTTTCGAACTGCTGACCTTGAGGTTCGCAGCTCAACTCGTAACCAGTACGCTACCAGAGCTCCTCAGACGTTGTAGTCCAGCACGCTAATCCACAGCACCACAGTTAATCACGCAGGTTTGGCAGATTTTCCCTAGACCCTAATCATCAATTGGGAGAAAGAGGAGGCTTTCTGCTTTCCTAAGGGTTTACAGCCTCAGAAACGCCGCATGCTGGCTCTCCAGAGGCTGACTGGGAATGAAAGCGACAGGGAACTCCAGATGGTCAGTCAAGAGCGACTTTATTAACTAGCATATAGCTTTAAGTACACAGTCTTAGGTAGGAGGCATATCCAGACACCACAACAAAGCTAGAGTTTATTATTACTAGATAACAGGCACACATATTTTCTCATTTTAGATGACTCCCCCAGCCATCTGGTCAGTGTGTTTTGCTCCCATAATCTTTGGCATGCAAGATTTTCCTTGCGGTTCTCATCAAGACGTTCCTTGGTTTGAGTACTGCCTCAGAGTGGGGTTCACACACGTCCTGTTCTTGCTACATCTCCCCCTTTTTGTTTTTGTAAAGCAAGTAATAGAAGCGCTTCTTGTGATTTCTCTATAAAGCTTAATCTTCATTGTATGCATTTCTAGACTAAGGATAGTAAAAGAATAATAATATAATTATTCCAGCAATACTAGAACTTCCCCAATTATGAAACCAATTCTTAGGACTAAATCGCTGAATGGCTTAAAGAAATGTTTCAGCTACATTAGAAGCATGATTAATTTGTATATGCTGTTTAAAGGTATGATTCCTCTGAGCTTCTAATTTCTTTATATCTATGGCACTCTGGTAGTGTAATGGTTACAAATCGGGCTGCAAACACCAAGGTCGGCAGTTCGAAACTACCAGCTGTTCCATGGGAGAAAGATGAGGCTTTCTGCTCCTGTAAAGATTTACAGCATCGGCGCTATGAGTCAGAACCAACTCCATGGCACATATAACAACAACAACGTAGACATATTACCTCTGAAACCATAGAGATGATTTTTTATTTTTTGCCACTGTTTCACTACAATTAGATTCAGCCGCGGTCACACAGAAATTGCACTGCCAATCACATTTAAGTGAATTTTTATATTCTAATGCTACAGTTTGTTCTCCTAGCCATGTTACAGATTGTTGCAATTCATATACTTGAGAAACAATTTCTCTATTTTATCTCCTTGACTCCATAGATAATGAGTTGCCAGTTTTGTACAAATGCAGCATTTTTAATACTTTGACTCAAAGCCACTCCTGCCACTGTAGCAACTGTAACTGTAGCTATAAATCCAAGGATTATGGCTACAAGGGCTCCAATAAACCTTTTTGTTCTACTTAACACTTTACCCAACATTTTCATTAATACATATATTTCTGCACTTTGTTCCCAGGGTCTGGTTAGATTAACGGGAAGCCAAACTCACAAACAAGACTTTAACAAGATAATAGACATATTTTTGTTATAAAGCATATGATTCAAATAAGTATACAGTTTACAGGAATGACAAGTCAGACTTTTGTTAGTCACAAATAACATTAGCCTTTTCTTCCAATGAACAATTTGTTAAACATTTTCCATGAGGTCCCCAATCAATAATGGTGACTGTAACATTCTTTAATACTTTAGCATGTTCCCACTGCATTTAGGCCATTTCAGTTTGTCTAGAAACAATTCAGTTACAACTCATCTGAGGACATTCTTTTTCATTATTCTTTTGTTCCATAATCACATTTGTCACATTGTCATAAAAAGTAAAACCTCCTAACAATACAAAATGCCTTGTGTCCGTTTTTGCATTAATCCAATGATTCCACCCTTGCTGTCTTGTTTTTATACATAGTTTCCTCTCCCCTTAACAGGCAAGATATCAAATCCCAGAGTCAAATTAATTTCCTTTCCTTCTTCATGAGGGAACTGTGGACCCTTATCAATCCAGGGCTTGGGCAAACAAACGCTGTTATTCACAAGGACTGTTAGTCCCAACTCCTTCCATTCTATTAATTGAAGTAAAGGAGGATCAAAAAGTTCTGCCTGCTGTGCAGAAGTGAAGGGACTGGTAACCACCCTTCCCGTGGGACCCCAATAAGCCGCTTTTCCTTTTCCTGAGCCATCCACAAAACAGGTATCTGCTCTTGTAATGGGAGTGCTCAAGACAATGTTAGAGATTGCAAACAGTGTACGTTAAAAAAATCCCAAGGTTTAGATTGAGAGTAACGAATTGAAATAATTTCTTGAAATTCAGCAACTGCAATTTGCCATTGTATGTGCAAGTAAACTCGCTTTATGGGTCTCTGTTCCAATTCCTCTACACAATTTCATATTATCAAAAATGTTTTTTTTTTAAATGTTACCAGTTTCCCTATAAGGCCTAATTGCTACTTGACAATCTTGATTTGCATTATCATAAACTAATATTCTGCGGGAGAAAGATGAGGCTTTCTGCTCCCGTAAAGATTTACAGCCTTGGAAACCCTGTACAGGGTCGCTATGAGTCGGAACCGACTCCGCGGCACGTAACCACCAAGCTAATGTTCTAAGGAGAGTTTCTGCTGCCACAGTTATCACTAATCCATATTCCCTTGCTCAGTGGTCTCTAATAAACGCTTTTCTGTAGTAGATAATGTTTGCAAAGGGTCTCGAGACAAAAGCTCACTAGGAGCCGTATTTTGCCCCGCAGTTTGCAATGGTTCCAAAATCCATTTTATTAATGACAAGCTATGGACAACATTGTGAAATATGAGTATTCCAGAACACTTAATTGTACTTCTGAGAAATCTGTACCTGGACCAAGAAGC